CACGGAGACGTCTTCGGACAGCGCTGGCTCTTTGGCTTTGAAACAGAGATGAGCACCGCCCCCTAGAGTCGGGGATGACTAGCACCTATGTGCAAGGGGATCCTTACCTGACTTGGTAGTAACTCAGGTGCAAAGTGTGAATCAGTGTACTTATAGCTTGAATGTAAGACCAGCAACAGATGTTCCAAAGCTGGAAACATTCACAAATGGACCACAACAACAACAACAACTATTTGTGAGGAAATGTGGACACTGCTACATTTATGTGCACCAACAAAACACTGTGGAAAAACATCTGAATTAATTTAGGAGGGAAGGAAGGAAACAGACAGCAGGGAAAAATACAAATAAGATTAGGTTAAAGTAAGGTAAAATACCAGAATATCAAAGAGGAGAAATATAAACCAAACATCTATTGGGACGACATTATAAATTATTTAGGAAAAAGGATATTTGCTAAGTACATCGACCTGTGAGGCTGCATTAGGCTTGCCACATTCACACTTAAATAGCTTTGTCTGCGTCACACGTGAAATCATTTTTAGGTGTGCTGTTATGTTTGATAATTAAAGTATAAGCCATCATCAGTTTTCTGAAAATTGAAGCACAATCAACCGTGAATGCGCTGACCTGTTTGGAACATGGGACTTGGCTGTTGTCTTTTTCCGTGAAAATCCACTTCAAGACATTTCGGAAAGTTACTGATTTCCAAGTTGGCCAAGGATTCATGAATCTGCCATCTTTATCTTTCTCGGACTTCGTTACATCTTCCTCCAGTCGGTAATCCAACCGGAAGCTTTTCCTAGACGCCCTGGAAGAATTGCTCCCACGGGAACCTTGATTGGAATTCTGACGTTTCCTGACTTCGTCTTTCAAGTGGGAAATGCAAGGCTGCTCTTCGTCCATTTCATTTGGTGACGAACTAGGGAGGGAAGCAAGAAAAAAAAAATTACCGTATTTTTGGGAGTATAAGATGCATTTCCCCCCACCCCACCCCTAAAAGCCCTACATGGCTTAGGACCCGGATATCTGCGAGACCGTCTTCTGCCGCATACTTCCCAACGACCGATAAGATCGCACAGGGAGGGCCTTCT